ACCGAGTCTCAAAGAGGTGCTGGCACCCTGCTGGGAGTACAGCTATTGTTTTGGCGCTCAGCCCAGCCATTTCTCAGGGCATCATGGTATCACAGTATTTGTGGTGGTGGTCTTCCCAGTATCTGCAATATCATGGCCTACATTTCAGAATTCTATTTACAAAAAAGAGGATATTTTTCTATTTGTTATCGAATTCTGTGTACCTTGGGATTAAAGGTCACTTCCTGGGTTCTTTTGTTAAAACTCTCTACTCAGATTCTGGACAACTTTTAATAGCAAAAGATATGAAAATACCAAAAGCTTCTCTTACAAAATATGTTTTTAAAGCGGGAAGGGCTAATGGTAAAATACCCATAGCATTGTGTGCCATCTAGTGAGATCTCTCAGCCCCAAACCTTCCCAGCTAAATCGCTGTAAGTTGTATGAGTTGTGCCACTACCCCCACCTTCAGGTCAGTGTGTGCTTGAATTGTTTTTCCATCTGGTTCTCTTGTGGCTCATGGTGGATGTTTGTCCCAATACTGCCTAGAATTTAGTGGTGCTGGCCTGAATATTTTTTCTCTGTATGAAACTATCAGGCCCAAGTGAGGAAGAAACACATACATGTGTTTTCATTTGCATTATGCCATAACTGACAGAGACGATCAGCCCAAAATTTAGGTAAACATGGAAGAGCCTATCTCTTCACCCATTGCTTTCATTATATTTTCCTTATTTCCCCTGAGCTCTGGGGGTATATGTCAGAATATCTATCTAATAAGTTTATTTTCTATTATTTCAAAAAACTCACAGATGACTCTAGGAACAAGTAAATTATCCTCACAGAGAAAAAGATGCAGCAGATGTGAAATAACATAGCAAGGTAACCTTTTGTCCTAGCAGGTGTTAGATCTAGGTAACCTATTTCATGGAAATAGTGGAGAACGCCACTCATCTCAAATGCAGGCATTGATGGTGGTCCCAGGGTTGAACTACCCCTTGGAAGCTAGAACTGTGTTCCTTCCTTGCTGCTTGGCTCACGCACCCGAGTCCCTCCTGAGACTAGATGGGGACAGATGGCCTTTCCTGGTAGAAGGAAGCTGCCATCAAGTGGTTATAAGTATCTTTCACCTACTAGTGACACCATGAAAGCATGTATAATGGCTGGATTATTTTTCTTAGTTTTAGTTTAGTTCTCTACAAGGTGGGGCAAAAGTAGGTTTACAGTTGAGTACACGAAACAATTTTTTTTGTATTAATATTTATTAATTATTGTATTATTTTCCATTTGAAAATAATAAACTGTAAACCTACTTTGCCCCACTCATATGTTGCACACAGAAATAATGCTTTGGAGATGCATTTGAAAATTTTACCACACTATATTAATTTTTTTATCTGTATTGTTGAGAGTATTACAGATGTCCCCCATTTTTTCCCCTGCTGCCCCCTTCCACTTGGTTCCTGCCCCACCCTGGGCCTTCACCACACTATTGTCTATGTCCATGGATTATGCAAATATGCATATAAGTTCTTTGGTCAATCACTCCCTACCCCTCTATCCCGCCCCCCCCTTCCCTCTGAGATCCGTCAGGGAAAAATATGTTTAACACTTATTTCTTTTCTACCTATCATTGGATTTCTAGATATTTCCAAATATCTCATTGTTTGGCCATTAGAGATATAAACCGTGATGTATATGGCCATGTCCTACTCACCAGCATTTACCTGGAGGCATGCACAGAAATTGTTGACATGGTATGCTGATATTTTCTCTTAGATATTCTAGTGTTGAAAGTACTGGTCAATAGGACAATGCCTCTAACTTCCTGATCTTCACATCCATAAACAAAATATAGACATATACCTGTATCTTGAAATGTTCAATTTGTTTAAATAATACTCATTTTTCATGTAGGTATCATTCATCATCATGGCTGTTGTTACCAGTCATTGAGCATCTTTGTCACTTTTGTTCTGGCAAATATCAGAGACATCTATATTATCATCAATCACAGTGTCAGCAGAATATCATCAATCACCAGCCTAATGCATGCTAGTTCCTTTGCATAAAGCTTTGGACACCTCCAGTCCCTTATTTCATGAATTGGCAGGAAACTAGATTCCTTGTGGTTCTATGACTCAGGGCTGCCCCACCTCCCCATACCTC